ACGACCCCTCCAGGCCCTGGCGACCCCTCCACGCCCTGACGACCCCTCCACGCCCTGACGACCCCTCCAGGCCCTGGCGACCCCTCCACGCCCTGGCGACCCCTCCATGCCCTGACGACCCCTCCAGGCCCTGGCGACCCCTCCACGCCCTGGCGACCCCTCCCCACCCTCACGACCCCTCCACGTGACTTCCTCTCTAGATGGGCCTGCGCCCAGTGCACTCAGAGGGGCTGGCCCTGGGGGCCCTGCCTGCACCCTCCCTGGTCTGGGGACCTAACCCGGCAGCCTTCTCCTCCTGGGGAGTCCCGGGGGCGGCAGGTCCCCACCTCCTCCTTCCAAACTACCCCTCCTGTGAGCTGGACACCCCGGGACTGTGGGAGCCCCCACCGAGGCCAGCCCTGTGCTCGGTTGTGCTGAGAACCACAGACCTTCCGAAGCAGCCAGGACCTCACGGCCCGTGCACCAGCCCTCATTCTTGCTTCCAGCCTCAGTTTCCCCACCTGTACAGGGGGACGCAACACCCGCGGTGGTGAGTGGGCACAGCCAGCCCTGGACAGTGGCCTGTAGTCCCTGGCCCGGGGCAGGAGGGTGTGGGTCTGGCAGGGACAGAGTGTCGCCTGCCTATGGCACCCCACCGTGGAGCATCCCAGGCGAGGGTGCTGCAGGGCAAGCGTGCTTCCTTGCCCCAGCCCAGGAAAGCCAGGACTGTCCCAGCCCTGCCTCCACGAAGCCCCTGAGCAGCTTCCTGCCCTCTCGGGGCCTCAGTTTCCCTGCCTCCACCACGGAGGCTGCGCAAACGGCTTCTCCAGGCCCCATCTCATGCAGCTGAGGGGACCAATAGGTGGGGGCCGGCCCTGGGACCCTCACTCTTCCTGACTCCAGGAACAGCCATTGGAGACCTGCCACCCGTGCTGGCCTCACCTGGGTCAGCGATCTGTGGCCCTATCAGTGCTGGCCAGGCCCGCAGAGGACGTCCCACCTGTCCTGGCCTCACCTGGGCCGGTGCCCTGTGGCCGAGTGGGTGCTGGCCGGACCCGAGGCGGACGCCCCACCTGTGCTGGCCTCACCTGGGTCAGCGCTCTGTGGCCGAGTGGGTGCTGGCCGGGCTCGCAGAGGACGCCCCACCTGTGCTGGCCTCGCCTGGGTCAGCTCTCTGTGGCCGAGT